CGGGCCGCCAGCCCCTACTCCTGCTCCTTTGGGCACTGCAAGCACAAGACAATTAAAACACATGCTTTCAAGTGTCTCCAAGCTCCTATCAGCCAGGTGTTTTTCCCATCTATGTGGAAACGTGTATGAAAGCACTTCCTTTCATGCCTTTTGGCTGGGTAAGTCAGGGGAAATAATTCTGTGGTTAGAAAGACTTTGCTGTTTGTAGTTGGTTACAGTGCTCACGATGAGCTGTCTTGGTAAGAGACACCTCCACGCAAACAGGACTTTACCTCCAGACTGCAAACGATTGAAAACCATGTGATTGTAACACCAGTAGCATTTTACTTTCCGATTTTGCATCCCCATGTGTTTTAACAAAATGATTTTCATGGCGCAATATTTAATTGTCTGACTTTAGTAATCTAATACATTCAGTGTGATCAGCAACTACAAGGAAACAAACTGTATGAATATTTTGCTTTTATGCCCTGAATTTCATAAGGATATTATTATACGATAACATAAGGGTATTAATGGGATGAGAACTGCAACATTTCTATGCCTTGAAATTCAATGCCGCGGTTCCCACAGCAACCATAACCATGGCCACTCTGCATGAATTTTATATCCAAATCTCAGAACACACAGTTCCAAGTGCTCAACATCCATAAGCAAAAACCAAGCAAAAGCATTTTTTTTTTTCCTGTAATAAATATCTTGCCTGCTAAGTCACAACCACTACAAGGTGTTAATGGCACTTGTAGGTGAAGATGAACTCCCAGCAACTGGCAATTAATGCCACGATTGCAGCTTCTGTGCACAAACACGTACAAGATTCACAGTACTGGGATTGACACAGCTTCTGTTTTCAGTTGTTGCTGGAACAAGAGCCCACTGCTGGCACCCAAGGTTAAAACATTCTTAGAAGACTAAAAAAGACCAGTGAAGGGTCTTTCAAATTCTTTTGCTTCAAATACCACACGGTTTCAACTACAGAAGTATTAGGTGAAGAGGCTCCTCCTTCACGGTTTTGCGCATTTTATCCAGCCCCTTTGCTTGGAGGCAGTACCTGGTAGTACACTAAGAAGAAACCAGCAGAAATGGGAACATGAAAACTATGAAGTTATCCAAGTAAGTTTAAAGGTTAGCTTTTTTCTGTTCTGAAGTTTGTCAGAAGCAAGAAGCATACACATGAAGAACAGTTACTGTGTCTGTCTAGTTTCTTGGATTTCTCCAAGCATTTACTGCTGCTGTAATGCAGAACACTGATGGGCCTTTGGTACGAAGAAGTGTAACTTTAGAAGATTCTTACTAATTGCACTAGGTGGGGCTTTTATCCAAAGCTTGCGCCCCTTCCTGCTGGATAACAATTTCTTCTCTGAAGTGATGGAGTAATGGTCAGTGGTGAAATCAATGAAACAATTCACTGCTATGGGAAGGAAAAATTCCAGTCAAAGGCAGAATTTTCACCACCACACTTCATCACAATGTCTGATCGGGGGTTTAACTGGCAGCACCAACAATTTGTAGTAACATGAGTCTATCTTTACAGGAAAGCTCCAGGGCTTTTCTATGAAAACTTGTAGAAATGAGATTTTATTGACACTTGGAAATATGGGAAAATGCAAATCTACATGTCTAAAATTAAACATTAATCTACAGTGGGATCAGCTTTCCAAAACTATATTTAATATTTCCTAAACATCTGCAATGTGAACTGGAAAACAAAAATTTTACATTAGCATGACCCCCCGAATAGCAGAAATACCATCTACTACAGAGATTCTCTACATATTTAACTCTCTAGGTTACTAAGAAAACACATGGTCTTGGATCCCTGATCCAAGACTGGACAGACCGCACAGCAAGAAACACCCAACCACCCCACCCTTGAACTACAGAGACCACCACTAGTTTGTAAGCACCTCTGCCCATACCCAGCGAGGTACCCCAGCCTTTCAGGAACCAAAACCAGCACGACCAAGTGGGTTTTAACTCGAAGTGGCCGTGTATGTACCGTTGCTCCAAACCAGGGCTTAAGAGAGAAAATAGTTCCCTGGGTTGGCTGCAGTCCTAATTAAACTGCAATCTACAACACAGTGTATGACACAGCAGCTGTGGGAAAGACTGATTAAAAGCCTCTACGCCTTATCCCAATAGGTCCATGTATATCTGAGTTTTTAACTGAATTGGACAGATCTCTATTTAAATTCCGGATCTGCTACAATCTTTCCATATGACTAGAAGGACTCCTGAATCTCGGACTTTGTTTCTTTAACATAAACATGGATGCTAATTTCAGATAATTTTTTTGAAAAATAATCTAATTAATCTTGACAAAAAATGCTGCAATTAAAAAAAATGTGGGATACAGTATCTCACTATATTTGATCTTGGGATTTCACTGTAACACAAGAGAAAAAGGTGAACTTTGCCCAAATCTGTACAAAAAAAGAAATCTTTGAACCCACAAAGACTGGACCAGATGCTGTAGCTTGAATAAAAGTAGTACGCAAAGCACTTAGACCAGCAGGACTAGCTGTTTCTCTAACCTACCTCTCTCTACTTCTTCTCAACATGGATGAGGGTCTTAGACCTTGTAAAGAGGTCAAATAGACTGAAGTGTTTTAGAAGTCAAGTACAGGGAAGGTTTGCATGAGAAAAAGTTTATCTGAACTTGTTTGTTCCTGCTTAGTGTTCAGATGGGTTTTTTTAAATGTACGTATCTTTAAACACTTATTTAAAGCAATCACACACACCGCACCCTCCAAACTCCAAGACATTTTTCTCTGCCAGACCCAGCAACCAAAAGACATCTTCAGAGCTGGATGACACAGGTTTTAGTGATGCAAACTTTTGGTCACAAGCCCATTACGAACACCCCCCAACACGCCATTCGGACCACGCATTCCAGGACACCAGCATGACGTTACATACAACCACTTCTCGGTTGTTAGAAATGCATCTCAAAACGCCTACGCCTGCTGCTACGTCCTCACCACACATGGACCTCTGATTATTTTTAAAACTTGGCTCTTAAGGAGAGTGAAACCAGCTGTAGTTCTGCAGAGTCCTATCAGCAGTGGTGTGGATAAACCTACACTGGTTCCCAAGGAATATGAACAAGTAAAAGGCCTGTGTTTGGGAAGAAGCTCACATCTGATTTGGAGATCTGAAGAAAGCAGTTTTCCTTTCCAGGCAACTCCTAGAGGCTTGAACAGCAAGCATGCAGTATGCTAAAGAAACAAGGGTATATTCTTGCAACTTTGTAATTTTACAAGGCATTTGGGAAGGAAGCTGTTAAAAATCTGTTTCCGATTATAATAACTTTTTTTTAATACCTCAAATACAGATTTACTATGAAAGAACCCTTTGAGAACACTTTAAGAAAAATACTTAAGTACAAACTTTAAATATCCAAAGTATGATAGTGGTGCACTTCTTAGAAACAATTACATACTTAACAGGTGAAGTAGGAAGAGAGTATTTCAGAAAACATTTAATATGAAACCTTTTGGAACTTCCATCGAATACAGATTTACATCATTTATCAGAACACTTTTTCAGTTCAGACAACAAAGTGCACTGCCGGGTGAAAAAAATACATTTGGAGGCGTGCTTAAAACGTAGGAAGTGAAAGAATAGGTGACCATTCACCTGAGAAAGTACAATGGCTGCCCTGAAATGTCTTATTGCTATTACAAAATGGGAGTTTTCATGGAAAAAACCATACTGAGCAGCACAGGCACGGGCAGAGCACTGAAAGCCAACTGAACTCCAGTAGCACCTAGAGTTCTCAAGCCATGGCATGATACAGAATATACAGAGAATAAAATGCAAATTCAGGAATATTTACTACATTTAACAACTATGATTACCCTTTAAACTAGCATAATCAATATCAATGCTTAGGGGGAAAGACAGGGGAAGTCTGCTGCCTTCAGAGACTACAGATCACAAGAACTAACTTGCAAAATATTAAGGATTTTGCATTTTCACCTTGGGTCAAATCTGAACTGTGTACTATCAATAACTATTAGCTCACTGCAAATTTAAAATGCAAATTTAGGCTCCAGTTTAAAGCACATGTTAAGGACATGCTTAAGTGCTTCACTGAAATATAGCCATAAAACATTAATACAAAAAAGTCAAGTAGATAATGCAGGATTATTATCTACAGAAGTCCTTGACGAAATAAACAGAGTATCAGTAGGAAACAATGCATGAAGAAATCTCTCCACTCTACTTTGCAAAATCAAATCCGGCTCACTGCAGTGATGGTTAAAAAGCGGAGACCATCCCAAAGAAGCTGTGTCCCCTACAGAAAGCTAGTTGGCCATCCAAGAGTTCATCAAGGGCGGGTTTCCACACTGCACGTTCAAAGAGCGACAGTGGACTCTCTCTGCAGCAGAAGCTAGAGACATAACTGGCACAAAGCCATCAAAAGCAATACAACCAGAGCCAAGCGGAAGCACGCTGGAAGAGAGCTGCAAGGAAAAGTTTTAACTGCTACTGCCTATGGCTGTAGTTTGGCAAGCTGGACGTTACAACAGAGATCAGTAGCCAATTTGACTCCTACTTTTGGGTGCCAATACTGTGCACGCCCAGAACGCAAAGGACACTACTGCCACATGGGCAGCAATACCTCAGAACGGCACCGACTCGGACATGGCGACTTGCACCAAAATACAGTCATTATTTGAGAGTCCTTTTGTGCTTTGTATCAGTCTTGACCTAGTCTAACGTGGAGGACTTGGACTGAAAGAAAAAGTCACTAGTCAGCATTTAGCACATCCTTTTAGACTGCCTCATCCTGTAGAGGAACGGTGGAACGACGAAAAGTGTTCCTAGCTGCAATCAATACTCATAAGTCAAAAGGACAAGATACAATTTTAGTAGTTTAGCAGAAGCAGAAGAACGGAAGTGTTTACCCAAATTTTAATGCACAAATCAACTACATTTTTAAAATTTGATTCAGACTTAAATAATAAATAGGTGGGCAAAATATAATGCAAGACTTACTCAGTAAAAGTGAATTTTTAATAATCTCATGAGATCTACTTAGAAAACAGGACTAATAATGTTCACAACCGTAAATCCAAACCCTTCACACACTTTCTTTTTCTTAACACAGCAGTGAACTGTAAACCTGCATTTACTGGTTATCGCTTCAGTTATTTTAAATATTAACTCAAGTGTTTCCTCCTTGGCCATTTCAATTTTTAGCACCAAAATTAGCCCAAAAAGAGGTACTGGTACAGCTTGATGTTGTAAATGAATTGTTTACATATAATACTTTATATATTATACACACATACTGTACATTCACACGTCCACACAAACAGGAGGCATATTTAAATGAATATATTCTGTGTTTCAATTTGTTGTCGAAGACTTAGGAGCAATGGAAATAAAGCAGAAGGGGTAATATTTTACATAGTAGGCAACTTTAATGCTGTAGTGCACTTATAAAAAAGTCCAACTCTCCCTCCCAGCTCAGCAGCTTTTTTTTTTTTTAATATCACTATTCAGAAGGATGCAGAAGTTATTGCCTAAATGTTATTCTATACATTTCCATCGGAATTCTCAAAAACACTTGAAATTGCTAACTAATTTACAACTTAACTATTTTTCTTGTTACAGCTTTAATTCATTGGCAATTTTGGAAGCAATGTTTTTAAAAGCTATGGATGTTCCCGATATCCGCTTAAAGCGAACTCCATTCAGGGACAGTCTTGGCAGTTTACACACCTCCATCTCCCACTGTACAAGGTTTTCCGCATGCCCATCTCCATGGACACAGAAAAGCAAGAAACGCTCTCTTTGTTCATAGTCACAATTATTGGCATCCAGGACCTTTCGTATTTCCCTCATCATGTCATTGGGATCCATGGAACTGGTGGTTTTCATGCTCCAGGTAAAACGCAGTGACCGAGGTTTGGCTTCCTTGTTCTCATCCTTCTGATCCACAGCTACATTGCGGCTGAAAGACAGGAATTTATTAGTTAGCAGGGCCAGCTACCTTCTCCACGTTTCATGTTAGTAAAGCAAACTAACTCTCAATGCACACTGCCGGTATTAGAGCAGCATCTAGAGGCTCCGGCTGCGAGCAATGCCCCACTCTCCTAGCTGCTGTACAAACACACAGTCAAGGTAAAAGCGTTAGCTGTTGGGGCTGAAACGAAGGTATGGTACGACGTGTGACACAACTGGAAGTCACTGGAGTCAGGAGCATGAGGGAAATGACCTTGCGGAGGTAGAACTACATGCATCACCTACGACTTGATTTTAAGGCAGGTTCTGCTTAAACCTCTATTCTCAGGCCACGTGGACAGATGAAACACCAGCTCTGTGCTAGAAGTTTCTGGAACATTCAAATAGTGGCGACTTGCGACAAAAGGGTGCTCAGCCAGGTTGTGGGAGTGCCAGCCCATGGGAGGTGCCCACTCATACGCAACGGGGACGAGCCTGTGCAGAAAGATCCTGGCAGTTCCTCTGCATCTCCTCCTCCGCAGCAGGTTGGAGACCAAGCACTGCGAGGGTCCATGGAGCCCCAGAGGTAGCTGCAAGCAGGAGGAAGGACAGCAGAACAAGAGGACCTTGCCTGGGGTCACCCACCTACTGCCCCAGGGTCAACATGTGCCACCCCGTTCTGGGCTGGTTCGGTTTCACTCTGTCCTTCCTGCACTGGTAAGTGTTTGAGATGATCACTAGAGACCCACCACAAGCTATGCAGCTAAGTGCCTTTGAGGCTGAAAATGCAGGAAGGAGAGTTGGAAGTCGCTAGTAGACACTTCTTCAACGTTGTTAGTAAAGATGGCAAATAAGAGGGTTACTATTACTGTCACAGTTTTAAGACATAAAGCACAAAACAATGAGGCTGCATTTCCCAAGTTTGCAACTTTTCTTTTTTCCTAAATAAAAAAAAAGCTTTTCCTTTGGTAAGGATAAATAAAGTCATACAGGACAAAGAAAAGAAACGTTCCAGAAAATTCTAGTTTGCAATGATTCTTCTACTTCAATTAAAATCAGTGGTGACACAGCTAAAAAATAAGAAGCTACATGTGGACCTCCAGGGAAAAAATATGACAGATTTGCTTTATGAAGATTTGTACGCTGTCAATCGCCTGTTCAAATTTACTTGTCCTCAGGACAAGAGACATAAATAAATTGACTGTCATGCTTAAATATTTTCTGAAAATACCTAACCTAAATGACTCCAAACCATGCAGTTTAGATCTCATGTTGAGTTTCAAAGCTCAATTTAAAATTTTAAGTCAAGCTGCTCTTTAACATAGTTAGCAATGAATTTCTGGTTACACAATGCTTTTCTTCTACCACAATTAAGCAGGCAATTATGAAAAAATTAAATAAAAAGTGATAGCGAGGTCAAAACTAAGTATTTCTCAAAGATAACCTATGTCATAATTTTACCTTCTATCAGAAACGCTTCCAGTAACTGCAAGAGTCATAGGATTATGCTGTCAAATCCAGCTATGTGATTTGCCAGATGTTATAAAATTCAGCAAGCAAATTAAAAGAGTACTTTGCTTTAAGGTTTAAATTTAATAAGGCTGTAAGGGGGCAGGGGGAACATCAACTTTTATTCAATGCTCATTTTACTTTTGAAAGCTTTTTCTGCTTGAAAACAGTTGGCAGAACCAGCACAAGTTTGATCATTCCTAGTATTTTTTGATATGCAGATTCTGGAAGAAGAGTATAACATGAAAAATATTGTTTAACTATCTGTTATTTTGGAGATGAGAAATATCACGTTTCAGTGGTTCTCCCACACGTTTGCGGCCTCACTAGAGGTCACCTACCTACACACATCTACAAGACAACAGCAAATTATAACAACTAAAATGCAAAAAAAAAACCACACAAGGGAAAAGGCAACAGGAAAGATGAAAGTTTGGAACCAAGTCAGTCAGTGCTTTAATAGCTGTTTTGCAGACAGAAATGCTTCTTTGTTTAATTTCAAAGCCTCACACGAAACAAAAGCTGCTGCCCGAAGCCACTATGCCACATAATCAAGGGGAGAAAAGTTCAAACTCACCTAAGTAACATTTTAAACAAAAATTTTACCCTCACCTTGAGCCCTCAAATCTCCCGTTCCTCTCATATTCAGTCGGGAGCCTCATTGAAAAGAATGCAGAAGCAAAAGTGGGAAAGAGAAGACAAATCTTACACTACAATATACAATATCTGAGTAGTTGCTAAAAGATACTGCAATCATACCAAAGGTGTGTTAAATACAAAGCAACAAAGATGTAAAGAACTTTGTAGGTGAGACTAAATTCAGAATGTAACATACTGTCAAACCAAATGGAAGTCTAAACTACAGTTTTTAAAAAGACCATAACTAATTTTTACAGTGTATGTTTATATATATTAATACTGTAGAACTCGCTGAATAAAGTCAAACTTCTAAAAGCAGAAAACATGAAATTAAAGTTACAAAGTATATTGAAGTTATTGTATTATTTAGTAACTACCTCCTAAAAGAGAAGTAACTCCCAATTATTGTAATGCTTATGATATTTAAAATTTTTATCTGGGAATAAAATATATATTTTTTTTAAAGTACCCTATTCATAGACAAGTCTGGTCACCCTGTGTGTTTGTATGCACATCAAATCTGAGCTATCAGGTGTTTAAAGAATACCAAATACTTTAACGCAAGAGAACAAAATGCATACATATTTTAACAAAAGTTTAGAGGTTAATCCAAGATTTCTCAAACTGTGGTAACTCCACCCTATTAATTTCCACACTGACGCATCTTCCACATCCAAGAGTAAGCTTAAGCTTTCTGTCTTCTTGCATTGCTTAAAGCTATGTTGCTGATCACTACCTTTTTTTAAAAGCCCAGCATCAAGCAGAATTAAGAGCAAAATCACCTTCCTCTACCTTCTCATTATTGCAGTACCATGGTTCAACATCTCAGCGATAATTCTGCTCAGAGGGAAGCTGCCTTTATAAGGTTTTTATCAAGACTACTCTAAGCTAGTATGTGGCTTCATTGAATAGCGTAAATTATTAAAGCAGTTTGGTTGACAGGTGTCTAAGGATAGGAATGTAAGGCAGTAAGCTTACTTTTTGATGCACTGCAGTATTTATAACAGGGTGTGTGGGGTGTTACAAGGCTTAATTTCCTCCTTTCCTTCCTTTTGAGGGTTGCGGTGAGGGAACAGGTTTGTAAGATGTGCAGTCCCTATCACAAGGGACCAGATGCTGTGCCAACACCACGAGGAGCATGGTGGCAGCACTCGCTGTACAGGCTATGGAGCCTGCTCCTCGTTCAAAATTCACACTGCTATTGCAATAGAAATCCAATTAAGAAAGTGGTAAGTCACTCAGCTATGAGCTGCTTGTCACAACAGCTTCCGATCAGAACCCTGATCTCTGAGATACTGCACAGTACGATGCAGTCTCTGCTAGGAAACGTTTGCCATTGACTAATGAACAGCTGTCACAAACCAAAAGGATAAGAAAGATAATGAGAAGAAAAGAACTGACAAGTCCTCAACTAATTCTACTGCCTCAAAGTGGGTTTTTAATGGTAGTTATTTTCATGAAATCTCATGTTACTTATCTATGGTGGATATAGGAGTAGGTGGAAGATTTTTAAGGTCCGCATACACGGCCCATGAACTCATCCTTTAAGACAACTCTGTAGGACTGAGAAGCAGGTAGGTGGGAAGGGAGAAACCATCACGTGTACCAAATGAACAAATCCATACTTTTCAGTTGATCTGGGAAAGGCTTGCTCTACTGGGCAAAGCAAGCAACAAGTCTGAAGGCACTGTTCAACTGAAAAACTGAGAGTACTTGAAGAGCCTACTGTGTTTCTACGAAGCGAAAGATGACAGCTTTGTTAAGAGCTGAAATCATTTATGGATTTTTGGTGTTTTGTGGGGTTTTTTGGTTGATTTTTGTTTTTAAACTTGCCAAAGGTTGTAGAAAACAGGACCATAATCTCCTCAACAATTAATAGTCTTACTGTTACTGGAATCGGTCCAGAAAAGTCTGGGGGGAAAAATCCCTAATGATGTTCTTAAACCCTTTTTAGGTTGAAATTAAGCCAAACTGTTCAGTCTCTAAACCACTGTACTCTAAATCTAAGAAGGTCATTATTTACAAAATACCCGCCACTCTGATATAACACACACACTTTCATGGAAGCCTCTCAGAAAATCCTTACTTTGTTCAGTTTTTCCATGCATCAATGTTCCATACATTTAGCATGAGGAACTGCATTCGGTGACATGCACCCTCAAATATAAGTCATCATGCCAAGCTTTGGAGAGCTGTGCCAATCTCTCTAGATGCTCCTTCCTTCAAAGGACATGGTTATGGTCCAGCTCTGCTGCCCAACACTGATGCTTTGGGAACAGCCACTTACTGTACTGCCAGTATTGATCCAGTGAGTCTACAAGTCAGATGCAGCCCTGAGGCCTCCTCACTGCTAATACAATCTTCACTTCTGTGGGAACTGCAAATTGCTAGTTTACGCACTAGGTTTTCTGATTTTGCTTGTATTTTTACATAAATTAAATTTTATGGGCCAAGATGCTCCTTGGTCTTGAGAATGGAACAAATATATAGGGAAGTTATGTTCTCATTTGTCATGCAATGCCTATACACTATCTCCTTTATGGTTTGTGAAAAGCTTTCAGAAATAAGAATGTTTCCATACATCTGTCCCGAGTTATGCTGTCTTTTCTGTTCTTTACATCTTTGTATACTCTGTGTTAAAAATCCAAATAAACACAAAGAAAACTGTCTAAAAAGATACAGAAAAACAGCAAAGAATGCAAGATGCTAAAATAAGATCAATTCATGGAAACAGAGAAAAGATGCTGCAATAAAATCCAGAACACAGAAAGTGATTTTTGCTGTCAGAAAAAAAGTTAGACTTCCACAATATGCAGATTGGCAAGTACAGTGCATGGTACAAGAGATGTATATATTTTATCACTCTGTGTACCGAGTACACTACTAGAACTCAGTAGTTTAAAAAGGAGCGACTGATTATCTACTTTTGTTCAACTCCCTGGAATGATGTTGCAGTACTATACATACATGCTATTGGATTACAGGAGTTCTTTCAGTATCAAGGACAGTGAGGTTAGGTAAGATTCACACCATATAAAGCAAGAAGAAATTGCCAAATCCCCAAACATTTTCAATTTAATTTTGTACCTACATACAGATCAGGTATGGAGGGACACCACACACGTTTAAAACAGAATTTAAAAACCACAGTCTGGTCCTGTGCAGGTGGTGTAAGACTTTGCAAACCTCTTATTCAAAAGACATATTTCATGGAAGCTGTAGCAGCTGTTTCCACAGCAGTCTAAGTATCCTGGCGACAAGTGAAAGTAAAATTTTAAAAAATTATTTAAAAAATTTACCTTCAGTCTCAAATTTCAACAGTAACCTAGTTTAAAACTGCACTTATATTAGCATTTTCCATCTTCCATCAGAGCAGCAGTGTACCAAACTTATATGCACCCAGTTCTGGAGGCTGCACAGATCACCACCTTTTGTTTTAAAAGTAACGTGACTGCAGAGAGACAAAAGCTCCCTCTTACAAAGTGGTACGCACCCCACAGCTCACGATGCACAATGGGTTAAAACTATTGCTGCTGCTCAGTTTCATCTGTATGCTGTGTTGGATGGTTTCTTTCCCTAAGAGCTGGTACATGTTCCTTTTCTCAAGTCAGCTGTGACAGTGCCAACCAACCCAACCAACCCCAGTTCTAAACATAGTCATGTTTGGAAGAGCTCTGATTATTATTAGCATGGCATGGAATTTACTCATTTAATCGGGTATGGTACCTTTAGATTTGGACTGTACATAATAAACCCAAATTTAGGCAGCAATTTACATATCTCAGGTCTCCCTAATCTAAGTATTTCCTTGAAATGGTCTGACAAACTTCGAATTACAGTCACATGCACGGCATGTGTTAACTTTAACACAGAAAGTTAAAACAGATGTCTGGTTTTTGCCCCTGTCTCCCTATTTGTGATCAGTAGTTGGAAACTGAAAGTACCACCCTTTAAGAAACTCTAAGATATGATACAACTAAACAAAGTATTATGAAATTCTACCAGAAAATCTACCGGCAGATCAAAATTGTATAACCAATTTTCATGAGTCATAATGGATTAACAAGATACATAGCAGCTTGATTCATTCCCAAATTGTAAAACTAAATTCAATCCTTTGGGCTTGAAATGTGAATCAGACTTCTACGCTTTTCCCTTTTGTTGATAAATTTGCATAGACGTTCTACTTCTTGTTTATAACTGAAGTGCTTTATTTGCACTTTAGCTGCAATTCACTTCAGCAAATGCATCCCATTTTAAAATAAATACACAGCCATTGCATCTTCATTCAATCTTCCATACAAAATTGTTAAGATTCACAAACGTGTTCAGTTTGCTCTCTGTTGTATCAACTGCAGACAACACTTCAAACGGATTTTTTTTTTAATAAAATATCATAAAACAAAGGGATAAAGAATGTAAATTTAGCATCACTTACCTTTATTTGCTTGTAACCTTATGTTTTGTTTATACTTTCATCATTTTATCAAACACCTCATTCTTCAAACATAAGCATGCTAAGTGTATTAGTACAGAGAACAGAATTACTTTGGTACTACCAACTCTATCAAAGAAAGAAGAATTCACAAGGCATGCTTAGCATCTTGTTATACAGGTGCCACAGATTCTTAAGTATCATCATGAGTTAATGGATTTATTCTATGCTTTCCTCTCAAGAAAGAAAGTATTTAGTTCTCAGCAGAAAGTTTAGTTTTCAGAAAACCAAGGCTAGAAAGCCAAATCTGTTGTTAATTGCAGGAGCCACTTTTTTTTTTAAATATAAATAAATCCTACCTTTTGATAAACCTGAATGACATGTTTCTAAAAGAAATTAAGCCAAAATAATAATTAACAAAAAGTTTTGTACAAAATAAATTGAAAAAGCCATTTAGAGTGAAACATGCAAAAAGATCTCATTTAAAATGCACAATGAAATTACACTTCAATACATTCTGAGATTAAGCAGATGATTTAGGGTCTGAAGAGACAAACTCTTAGCATTGTTACTTCCAAACTTAATTTTTCTGGGAAATATGCCACCAGTAGTTATTATGAATTAAAATACATACTAGTGTCAAAACACTTTAAAACTTATAATCTGCAGGGTCACATAAAAATATGTTTGGATTTTCTTCATGTATTTCAAATAGAAAGCAAAAATCAGTAACGCTACTATAATTAGATCTTGAGTATCTTCACAGTTAGGCTTCTTCCTTCCTTCATAACATTGGGTCAGCCACATTGAGCCAGAAACTGCCTTAAATATTTAGTTAATTTAGTGGCAGAAGCTGTAACAATTGCCTACACCAGAACATAAGTAGTTCATAATCAAAAGGATCCTGATTCCCCATAGAGAATGCTAGAATAAATTAACAGGTTTAAAGGTTTTTAAAATTTATTTAAAGAGAAGAAACAGAATCATGTCCTTTGATGGCCCTATCTACCTCCTTAGTAGTTTGTACAGCACCTAGTATAACAGAGCCCCAACTGCAAGAGGTCCTCCAAGTGCACACTTAACTGTCTGTAACAGCACTATTGTGTTACAATTGCATGTTATTTAATCAAGTCCAGATGGAATTTAAACTATTGTCACAAGTAGTGGGGAAAAATGTCTTCAAAACCACATGGCACTTCAAAAGTTGAAACTCATAGGTAATGATAGAAGTTTGAATGCTGCCTAAACAACTGAGTGAAAAGCTTGCATGTTCACCGTTTGAATGTCCACATTTGGAATGTCAGATGGAAAATTAAGTAAGGATATTACAAACAAAGTACAGAAAGAAAGATGTGCCAAAAGGATGTGTCTGGTTGTGTCACTTGACAAAAAAGCAGATGACTTAATTCTAAAAAAAACCAAAAAAACCCCCCAAAATTAAATTTAATCTTTTCTCTCTCTCAACAGAAAAAGGAGGGGGGTGCAGGAAGAATTTCATACAGCACAGTATTTCCCAAGGAAGTGTTGGCTGGCACAGAGCTGAGCAGGGTAAAATATTTACCAAAGGCTAGGCTGTCATGTTTTTGTTTTTCACAGAAACAACTTCCACATTTTAAAAGAAATTCGCTCTCTAAATTGAAATCAGCCAGTTGTGAAAAACCGGAGTTTGGCTTAGCGCTATTTTGTAGGAATCGGAGACTATGAAGAAGATGCTGAGAGGGAGGCATGTATAGTCACAGAACAGACAGGAAAGAAATGGCTTGGCGCTGATGTGATATAAGCCTAAAACAAAAGCAAGCAGGCCAAGATCAGAACGATATATTCTAAAAAATTCCACATGATGAGGAGGGTACAAAAGTATAGAGATTATCTTAAGGCAAAGATAAACAAACCCTCAGTTCTGCAAACACAAGTTGTGGATATCAGAGCGGTCTGAAGTACGCGGTATGTGAACCGACAAGTTTTAAATACAGAAGGAAAATACACGGTTTTCAATTTTAGGGTTTGTAGGAACTAGTTTAAATCGTACATGGATTTGAAACTAGAAGTCCAATTAGAATAAAAACTGTTAGTGCAGGAAAAACACCTGCTTAAGCTAGGCTTTGGCTAGACCAACACACCTTTGCACCAAAACCAGAATCTGCATATGATCTAAAGGTCAAAACAGGAGGAAGTTTTTCAAGGTTTGACCAGACTCCTGCCTAGACTAAAACCATGGTACTGCCATTATTTTAATATGAACTATGTTAGCATTACTGCCAAAAGAAGCTTTTGTCTCCTGTCCCTACCCTTTCACCTGTGATATTTCTATTCATGTGTTGCCAGCAAGATTATTCTTGGAACACTGATAGCCTAAGTGATTGAGAAACACAATTCGAGCTTCTAACACTACATGGAATATCAAGACTGGGATCCTAGTTTATGCCGTTTACTGACAGACCACACAGTCAGAGTGAGCAGCTTTTGAAATGAGCTGAAATGTTTCAGCTCTGAAGCATCTGTACCTCAGACATGAGGATGAAGAGCACAGAAGAAACAGCACAGACCAAACTATCTCACTTTTTATCCCATTTGATTCCACTGCTAAAAACAAACTACTTCTGTAACCAAAAAGAACTACAAAAAAATCCTGAGCGAGTGCATTTTAAGTTGCAGAAATTGTTAAGTCATTAATCATAGAATGTGGACAAACCCACCTAAGCAACGAGCTACTAGGTATTTCTACGACCCGATAAAAAGGAAATGTTGCATTACCATTTTAAGACGCTTACCTTCTTGTTAGTTTTGAAGTTAGTTTACTAAATAGATTAGTGGAACCCCTGGTTCGAGTCTGTGAGAGTGGTGTTGCTTCATGGGACAGACTGGGGGAGGCTGGCGGTCCATTGTAGGTAGCAGTACGTCGCTCTCTGAGCTGGCCATGGAAAGTGCTCCGACTAGCCGTTCCTCTGGGGAAACGAATACGATCAGGTGTGGTTGCACTGCTGATGCTGTGAGTTGAAGCAACAGGAGTTCTTTGATCGGGAATAGTGCTAGAGCAGAAAACAAAAAACAATGCTAGAGCTTAGTTTATAGAAGCACTAGCGCTCTGCAGGAAACACAAAACACTACGTTCTACAGCAAAGCATAAGCAGACACTTTTATATAGGCCAGGGTTGGAAATATCAACATTATTACAGCACTGTATGGAATCAAAACTTGTAAGAAGTTAGGATTAAAAGGCTGCCGAAACAGAAACCTACATTGGCAGAAAAATGCAACAGGAGTATCCTGGAAAAGACCAGATAAACTAGGCATACAATGTTTCACTCAGAAGACTGATAAAAGAATAGATGAATAAAGTTTCCTCCCAGGAAAGAGAAGCAATAGGTAACTTTAGTGTCTCTCCCTCCACATTCTATATATGCATTTTTGAAAATCTTGCTAATTTGAAAGTATCCTACACAAAATTCTCTACAAGCGAACGGCTCCAAGTAGTGAAGTCCTTCAGGATACACAGTTAAAGTCTCCCACAAACTCTGACAATAGGGAATGTCCAATACTCCTAACACTAGGAAAAAAATTAAGGTTCATTATTGCAGGATTATGTCACAGACAGCCTGACACACCACAAGACAAATGTAAACAAGACTAAAAAAAATGAGGAAACACACATCTTGTGGGCAATATATACCAGAACAATCTAGGACTAAAATTCCACAGCACAAAGTTAAGAAGCAGTGGGTATAAGTTAGTTTCACAATGATTTCAGGTTCTTACATAGGCCTGAAGTTATCTGCGCCATTGTCTATTGGAGGCAACATCATCTTCGTGTGCACAGAGGCTGACATGGACATCGACTTCTGATGTCGCAGCCGAACACTGGAGAAGGATGTAGTACAAACTGAAGCAGGGCTAGCTGCGTAAGCGAACATTTCTGTCAGGCTGTGAGGGGGTTTGGGTTCAGGCAGAGGCAGAAAGAAGAGCATGATGGACCAACAACAAACTACTGCATAGAAAAAAAAAAGCACACTTTTCCTTCTATTAACTGATTTATCAAAGAACATGAACTCTAACAGCCCTCTTCTATGTAAAGAGCAGTAACTACCCTATGCTCCCCTTAAAAGGCATCCTTACTATAGCACTTGACATCTATGAAGTGATCATTCTCTTACCATTAGCATCAGTTTGCGGTGATACCCTCCTTGATGTACAGAACCTGAATAACTCAGTGTTCTGTGCCAAAACGCTAGTACAAAGCACTAGTGTAACTTGTATTGGTCTTAACATTAAAAAGTGCATTAAAAAAAACACCAACTGCACTTTCCAAAGACTGATGATAGCTCCATTGCTGCAGTGAAATACTTTATTCTCATAATGTATCCGTGTTAGAAGAAATCAGTGTAAGGTGGGCAAGCTGTCAAATCTTGATCCACATCAACTGAGGGACTTCACAGGCACAATCAAAAATAACAGTATCATGATCTTTAACAAGCCCAGAGAGGCCCAAACAAAAAGGCTACTATTAATCAACCTGTACATGTAAGAGGCAATGAATAACGCTTGGTGTTCTCTGAAGAAAGAGGTACAACTGTTGAAGAGCATCTCATATTGCTTGGCCACAAACCTTAAATTCTCCAAATTACCATTCAGGCTTTGAAGGAAGGTATACAGTGCTGTCTTACCAGAATGGTCAATAAGCTGCCAGCTGTATAATATGTTAAAATAGGAGCACGAAATCTTTTCCTTTCTTTGGGTCAAAATACTCTTTGCAGCCTTCACATTATCTAGTAATGATAAGGATGGGAGAAAACTGAGAGGCCACGAGATGTACTGGGCTTTTCAGGCTACAAGATCATGTCATCCATTTTAAGTTTGCTTTAAAAGTAAGGCAATCGTAATCAGAAATATCGTTCTAGGTTAAGAAATCAGTAATTGTCAGTGACAGTTTCAGGACACTGCATGTTCACTTTCAAGTTACTTCATGGTTACACATACTGAAATTCAAGTCCTGTTATCTCATTCTGGTATGTCAGACTTTGTAGTTGAGAATGCTAGTCCAGCTACAAGTATCAGCTGACCCACTTCTCAGGCTTAGCTCCCAAAGCACTAGTATGAAACACCTCACAGCTCAAACATCAGAACCGCTGGCTATAATGGTTAGCAAAATCTACTTCTTTGTTTTGTTTTTAACTTTTCAGAATCTAGAAAACTTCATCTGAGTCATGCACACATCTCTTTACAATGCTGAATTCAGCGGGATGCCAACTACAAGCTCTACTACAATGAAGCCTGCAACGCAGCCCAGCTTTTACATTACCCCAGGCTATTAAGAAATTGTAAGGAAATAAACATTCATCTCAAAAACAATACCCTGAAGTCAAGTAATCCCCAAATAATTGGTCACTAGCCTCTCAAGCACTTCTAGCTCCTCTCCTCTCAGTTTTTTGCAAAAGATAAAGGGGAAGAAATCTAGTTTTACAACACATTAAATCCAAGCTATATTTAGTCACCTGCCTCCAAAGATGAGACAGCTAAAGGTACCAAGAAGGTACCAGGGCACATATTAAAGCATTTATAGCTCTTCCTCTGAAGCTCTGCTAGAAATCAGCTTCCTTGGATTGCTAGTCTGGGAAAACAGAAAAAGCAAGCTAACATTCACCAATTAGGGCCAAGGCTTATTAAAAATCTGAGGTTGTTGTAAATCATTTGTAACACAAATGATTTAAAGCAATTGCCTATCATTATGAAGAGTGTTTCATGAGTCCCCAAGTGCGTTAATTAACGTTCAGGCTTTGGAGGAAAGCCAACTGAGTCATCTCCAGCAGAATGCCTGTCAGCCACACAATGTATTAAAGTAGGGATGCGAGACTTAAAACCCCTTTGCTTCTACCAGTCTGGCATGGGGTCTTCAAGACTACTTTCTCCAACATCAACTCCACTAGCTGACTACCAATTCTTCAAAGTTTCCATACCTTCAGAAATGGTACCTTCTCAGAATTCAATGTGCAAGACGAAAACAGAACAAGCATCATTTTAACACTTTCTCTACAGAAAGGACAGAGATTTTACATGTGCGCACCCTTTTAAGACAAGTCTCCAAAGTTTTTACTGAGTCAGTCAGTATCTGACTGGCTATGCAAAATCTAAAATCCAATCTGTAACAAATCATTTATAATAATTATTCCTGTCTTTAATATTTGCCACCAACAGACATTTCAAAAGCACAGAAAGCATTTTTAACAAAATCTTGGATTTATACAAAGCCCAGCTTCTACTTCATATCTTGCTTCATAGAAGAAAAAAACAATACAAGTTTCTAAAGTTACTTTCTGCCAAGTTGAGAGTACAATACTATTAGCGATACTGCAGAAACACCTGAAGGCAAGCAGAATTCATTCTGAAGAGCCAGTCCCATCAATAACGATGTTGACTGAGTCTGCATTAAAGGTCCCTGCATTTCATGTGATCAGTCAAGCCTTCGCCCAGCTACAGCAACAAAATACATTCAGGTGTAAATTCTGAATTCTGTGCCAATCACAGTAATTCCAGAACTGTGCCAAAATAAATGTACAGTTTAGTGTTGAAGCATTTCAGACAATGAAAAGTCTCCAACTGTAAAACAATTAGCAATGCATTCTCATTAGCTTTTCTCATTTTAACCCTCTATAAAGAGTAATGAAAGTAGTAATCAAAAATGTGTGATAAAATATATGAAGGTTTTTTTTCCTGATAGTGAAAAGATAAATGGTCAGACATTTCAAATGACCAAAACAGTGCTAAAGTTTGCAGGATAAGCAAATGATGTTTGGATACGATATTGACAATAGAAGGTAAATTACATAAGGGTAACCAATTATGGATATAAAACAGAATTAATATAGTTGCCAAGTACTACTCAATGTCAACTTCGCGCTTAATGCCCACACATGACAAACCAGAAAGACAGTAGTTTGCCGAGAAACTCAAAGCTGGAGAAAAAAACCAAACAACTTCAAAAGACAGCTCCTTAGGAGTATGAAGTTACTGCTAAATTAAGGGGACATCTGAATCTCAAGCATTCCTAGTAAACAATATCTAAAAACTTTTAAAAATGTAATAAAGAAATCGTAGACAAGATATAGCAAAGATATTAAAGATGAACAAAAATGTTCTTAAACCAAGAAATCAAGTAATCAAATCTGATCAGAACTATTCAGGACAGAAAGATTCATTTTTTCAGAGTCTGGAAAGAAAAAAAGCTATTAACATACCAAATCAAAGAAAGGATGGTGAGCTTTAATCTAAACAAACTTGGTAACATTAACAGGGACTAACCAATGAAGGCTGAGACAGACACACTAAGAGACAGTACCAAATAGCTGTGCCGTACTTCACAAGACAGTTGACTGCAGGCCCAGCTGGCCAGCTAGACTTTTGGCACTCTTCAAACTTATACTTGAGTTTTTCCTTAATCACTTTGAGTTTGCAGAAAGCTAGGAGGAAGAGACAAGGTCAAAATCATGTTCTTTATCCCTAGGCTGCAGGAGTCAAACAAGGGACAGACAGACTTTCCACTAAACATCATAACTTCACCACTCTTCCTGATAAACTGCTGAAAGGAAGGGGGAAAATTCTGTGCAACAAACGGCAGATCTTTCACCAACTTCAACATGAGCTAGAAGAAAAGTATTTTCTTCCCATCTTTTACAATATATCATAAAATTAGGAAGGGGTGGGAAAATTGGGAGGAGTAGGAGACAGGAATACATTCCTCTAAGCTTAAGCTTTTTTTATTAAGTACTAGCTTAATAGTGGGCACTCTCCTGGCAACAGTCAACTACTTAATTGTTACCAGCTTTCCAGATCAGTAAAATTCTGTAAAGAACAGTTAGTTGGAACTTAAAACACCTCAGCCAGCCAGAAAATTTGGTGGTATTCTTCACAATTGTTACTCTATACCTAATGTCTACATTCACTATTACATTCATTTTCTACAGCTCTCAGTCTTTGATACACAGGGAAGGATGGCACTAGATGCAGTTATGGTGCTAACACATGAACTGGTTAGCTCCAATTTTATTGCATGCTCCAGTCAGGCTGTCATTCAGTAAAGTAAGAGGAAACCTGTTATTTCTTTGACTGTTTTCACTCAGAATGTGGAGATATAAGTGCTTCCCTTCTCAAGATGAGTTCTGTAAATAATAGGAAGCAATCAGACCACAAGAATATCAGTAAGGAGTATTATTAGTCCAAGACAATGGCCTATCACTGTTTCACTCAGAAAAAAAAAGAGACTTTTCCCTGAGACTTTGTAGAAAAAATGGTATTCCAGATAATCACAACAAAATACAGTTTAGAGTGAAATGTAAAAAGAGAATGGCCCAAGAGATATGGACTTTGTAGTCTGACACTAAACAAGCCTCTTCTGCAAGCACATGTTGTTTGGTCAGAGGAGTTAACAACTGATTTAAGATGAAGGCTGTACAAATATGACATGTACTTAACCAGAAATTAGGAACTTCTTTTTACATTCTAAGTATAAAGACTGTATGAATTAGGTATAGCAAAAAAACCCACAATCCCAACATACTTACAGGTACTCCATAACCAAAGATCTGTACTCACCTTTCATTAAGAATCACACTAGAATATTACTGATTTTTAAATTAGGCATTACAATTTTTTGGAAATGTGAAGACAAGGGACATACACCATAGGAAGACATTTCATATACCTGTTCTCCTTGCCATTTTGTATCACTGAATGCCTATCAGCAGTGGTTCTTTCACTACAAACATACGTGTTGCGCCGTGTCATTGCTCCAGGGGCAGTATTATTCTACAATTAAAAAAACATAGGTTTGTTATCCCCCACAAAAGGCTTTTCTGGGGTTAAGTCTACATACAATTGAAGGCTGTTTTACTTCATGCTAGTTCTACACAGTTATAAAACTCACAATAATTAAATAAGTTAATATACAAACATCTTCCAGTATTTTTAAGGAACAATGTTCTTGTATTTCATGTTGATTGCTCAAAATTAATATCATTTGAAGTTTTTAATTACCAATGTTCTGAATTACAAATTCTCAGCATATATAGCATTCATCTACATCTGGATAGCCTATGTCTTTATAGCCTATTTTTGAAATACTTTACCACTTGTAGATTGTAGAATTTTCCTTTAAGTTAAAATCATAACCTTAAACAAGATAGGAAAAGCAAAGCCTTAAGAAACAAATGTGGTAAAATTCAGTGGGAAGGTACACATGGACTTTCAAATATTAAAATACTATAAAACACTAGACAAGTTTTAAAAACAGGGAAGAATAAGTCAAATTAAAGAGACAAATTGCAGAGAATTTTAATAAGACGTTTTTAAAAATACACATTTAAATACAAGCATAATACATTGAGGACAAGAGAACCAGGGGAACTTAAACTACAGACCTTACTTTAGAGGGGAGAAAAGAAATAGAATTACTTTGCCTCTGTCTTTACAGAGAAAGAGGGTGGAGATATGCCCAAGTTGGCGGTCAATTTTCCAGGAACGACTGAGAAGCTAGGTAATTCACAGATAACAGAATTATAAAAAGTTAGATGCAATTACTGTAGGAAAAGCATGGTGGTCCAGATAAACATGCACCCCCAGGTTGTAGAGGAAGTAAAAGCTGGCAAGCCTTACATTTTTTGTCCCCACCCCAAGAACATAACACAGGAAACTGCATATGGTTGGAAAGTGGAAAGAACCTTTTAAAATTTTCTTTAAAGAAAAGGATCACGGGGCAAAGCAGGAAGCAAAATAGGCTATTAACTTTAAACATCACTGCTGGGGAAAGTCTTCGAGGAGGAGGCTAGCTTAAGGGAATGACTTGTCAGCACCTGGATAAGCACATGTTGAGTAAGGATGGCCGCTAAGAATCAGGCAGGGGACATCATGCTCAACTAACCTTTTGGAGTTCTTTGAAGAATTACTGCTATGACAGACAAGGGAAATTCAGTGGATTTTTAAAATAGCATTAAGAAAAGGTTTCACATAAATGGTCACAGTAGAGAATCAGGGGAAGAAAGATAAAAAAAAAAAAGGAAAAACTAGTTCAAGCACAAAAGGAGAGTAGCCAAACCTTTTTTGTTTCCAAACCTGAAACAAAACTGTTAAAGTGGAGTATTCTCAATAGCCAGCAAAAGCTCCTCCAGTGCCTTAAGGCAAAATATTTGCTATACAGGGAGTCTCAAGCAATGCAATCCCTGAGCTGCAGATTTAACAATAAAGCTATCTTGACTGTTTAAAAGACTGATGACCTGTTACACATCTTTACGTGAATGTACAAATGAAAATGAAAAAGTGAACTGCACAACCTCCTGGTGTTAAAAAGCACAAAGAATATCAAGAGTATTTTAGATTAGCAGAACTATTAATCAAATCATAAGATACATGTAGTTGTCTCAAGGGTTCTGAACTATTCTTCACTGGACATTCCTTAGGGATAGGCATGTGCCAAGCATCAGCAGAAGTCCTCCCGGTCCTTTCCTTGTACCTTATTCCTTACACATCTCCTGTCTTCAAATAAGTTTACTTGTTTAAACAAATCCAAACCACATTGATTCTTCTGCTTTCCTCTGATATCTGTCATTGTGCAAACTCCCCCCTCTACTAAACTTGCTAGCAATGAAAGCTGTGCACCTACGGTGAACTTCTGTTTGTATGTTCTTGAGAGGTCATGCTGTGCAAGACACTTTGTGGAGCCCCTGCAAACCAATGGTACATTGAAATATTGCATATTAATATTTGCATATAATTTTATTCTGTGCTCCTGAACATTAATTTAGAGAATGAAGAACCTAGAATATCCCACTGTTTTTCCGGTGGGAAATATGCACAACACTGAGTGGCTTCCTTCTCTTCACCTGCTCCCTTAGAACATTAAATACTTGTTTCCCTTGAGAAGACTCCACATAACATTAAAATGTACTGTGACATTGCACATTTAGAAAGACAAGAAAGCAATCTCTGTGCTAGTTCAAACTTTAAAAGACTATGTGTTTTCAGGTTTGGGAGAGGACAAGTTTTGGTATTCATATCTGAAATCACAGGACTCTCAAGATGCACTTTCCCAGCTCCTTCCAGAATACAAAGACTTTTTTTCTATTTGGCTCAGACTTCAGTCATCATGAGAGATTTAACTATTTCAAGCTTTCAAATCTCAGTTTTAGCAAGAATACAAGTCTCAGTATTGGGGCCTTTACACTTTTTAGTGTACACTCTTTCATGATTTATCAAGGAAGTTCTTCAGCTACAACTTTTTTTGTTCAGCCAATCTACAGACTATGAATCTCTGCACATGACTAAATTGTGCAGGTGCACAGCACAGGAAGCCTGAAACTGGTGTCAACAGCACCACACTCCTTGATGGAATGACAACCCCTAGGGTCAGTTGCCTAAGTTCATCCTCCTGGCATCATGTGACTTCTTTGCAGGAGGTGTTGACACTGCAAAAGCACATGTTGAGACTTCTGAGCATATGCACAAGGTCCAATCACAGCACAAAGGATGAATTTGTGGTACAGAGTCCTCCTCTGTTCCTAGAGAGTCTTGTGGCCACTGCTTAGGCAGACTATTTTCCCATTAAGAGACATCAAGCTGAGGACTGATGAAAAGCTTTCAAAGAATCAGCTTCTGACTTACAATAATGAACCAATCTATCTACTTAAGAGCATCAGTATGTTTTTTGGTCCTAAATGATTTTCCAAACATACTATCTAGTCTCCTCTTCCAGTTTTCTTAAAGCTATACTAGGGCTCTGGGGCAGCCTTATTACAAGCACTGAGGAAAAATCCAAAGCTGTGAGTAATAAACAAAGAGTTATTAAAACAAGGAGTCACTAGTTGCTAACTATTCAAGCCCTGTAGCAGGTTTTCATTATTAATTTGGTATTTACCCAATGAACTTGAAGATTTCTGATAAGCACTTGTTCAGCCTGCAGAACTATTTAGTTTGCAAGAGTTTAAACGCTCTGTCAACTTTAGAAGTACAGCTTGGAGCCCCTTACTCCAACACCAGACTTAACTATCTGCTCTATAAGCACAACTCTTATCCTTAAGTGCATGCTTGTAAGCTTTGTTACTTATTAAAAGCAGCACACAACCAGCTATGGCTCTCCAGTGAGGACCAGTTCTACTACTTTTGCTGCATCTGTCAAAGCAGTAATTGTTTTTAAACAGTATTTTTCTGTCTCTTCAGTGATTTTCTCATCATATTACTGATTTTAGGACTTAAGTGCTCAGTGAGAACATAAACTCTCTCCACCTCAAACTTTTTCAACTTCAGGACAATATGGTGACTCCAACATCCTTTTTTTCCTTCTAGATGCAAGTCAATACTGTAAGAAATAAAACTCCCTAATCAGTTCCAGGAATTGTGTAAGAAATCAGCGCTTCTCTCCATCGCCAACAGCCAGAAAGCAAAAGACTAATATATAGTGGGGGAGGTGTGGGGTGGGAAGAGAGTTTGCACTGTCTGACATGAAGACCTATAAACACAGACAATTTTAAACAGTAATTAATTGAGGGGCATCACAATTCTGACTCCATGTTCACCACCTTGGACCACTGCTTGTAAAGGGTCAGCTGCATCAGCTGCACACTGAATCAGAAGAGAGAAGTATCCTACAGTTATGAGCTCAAATTTTATTTCAGTTACAGTAGTATGAAATTTGAAATAAGACTACTGGAAGAAATCCCCAGGATTTTGGAGTGGTGTAGAATAGCAGATCAAAATACTAAAGATACTAAATGTAAAATATATGGTAACTATGATGCAAAGATCTTGAATAAGGCACTAAACAACACTGAGCGAAGCCCAATGTAGGACAAAACTGATTTGATTATGCTACCATTTTAAGACTCAGTAGCTAAGAACTGTCATGTAAGAAGTAACAAAATCTGAGTGGTTTCTGGACTGATCAAAAGCCAAGGGAAAAGGCAAGGGATCACAAAAATCAGAAAAGAGTCCCCCAAAATCATAAGGATTGTTCACATTCATGAACGACAGCTGCTCCAGTAGAAGACATGTCTTTCCAAGGAATCTCTTTGGCTGAAATCCTCAAGCCAAGTCACTACTAGCCACTAGCCAAGTGACAATACAGAGCCAATAAAGTAAAACAAATCTTATTTTACTTCTTTTGCTTCAAATTGACAAAAAGCTATGAGCTCAGGAAGTTCCGTTCTCTTTTGTTGTAAGTAATGGTGCTGAGTATACGACCAAATATGACAGCGTTGTGGGTTAAGTTAAAAAAAAAAAAAATTAAAAAAAAAAATCACTCCATTGTAAGTTGAATAAAGGACTGAGAAGTTATTTCTTATGAAAAGAAGGAAGTTTTTCAATAAAAAAATCCCAAAGTTTTAGAAATTAAATTTTACCAGACTCAAGAGTTATTACGTGAAAACAGATTTCCAACTTTGCCTCAGAGGGAGGCACCACAGAGTATACAAGTTAAAGCCAAACAGAACAAAAGATTTTCTTTCTTTAAGGCATACTGCCTACTACTCAACCCTGTAAATTCACTAGTTAAGCATGTTAGCGTGTTTTTTCTGTTGTTGTTGAGGTTTAGGGGCAGGTGGGGGAAGCCCACGAGGACAAAAACCAGGCACACTGCTTTTAAATACACATTGAAATACACCTTTGAACAGTTTTTAGATCTACTTTTCTTTGATAATCTTAATATACGTGACTATGACTTGGAATAGCCTGTTTGAGAACAAAGATTAGGTGGCTCCTTATACACGAGACTATAAACCAGGATAACAAAAATAGAGATTTCATTATTAGGAGTAGCTGGTGATACCAGAAATAACTCCTACAAAATTACAGGGCATAGACTTCGGGTTCAGTTTCTTTTTTTCTTTTTAAATTATTTTTTAATACCTAAATTATGTCTGTTCATTAACAGCTACTAGTGCTAATTATTAATACTTACTAACTACTTCAGGAATATTAACAGGTAATTTGAGTAGCTGATTGATGCAGGGGGGAAAAAAAAAAGGCAACAGTATGAGATACCTACACTTACTCTTGATGAATGAAAAGTAAAATCAGCACCACTGATAAATCACAGGATCAACACTTTTTCACCCCTCAAAAACATTTCATGGTTTTGATAAATAAGCATTTCTACTTACACTAGGAACAGCTGAACTTTTCTTACGTTCAGGAATATCAGCCTTATTGGGATTGCTGGCATTTCCAAGCATTGGACTAGCTGGTGCGATTCCTCTTCCTGCAACAGCACTACTGCTGGATTTTCTTGACTGAATTCCTTCCTCTTTGAGGTCACTGTCTGTAGTACTAGTCTGGCTTCTTTTGGGATATGCCACTACTGAGGGGATGGATGGTCCAGCTTAAAAAACAACCAAAAGAAACAGGAAAAGGCTTTTTCTTCTCAGAAGTTCAGTAGCTATTTTTCACTACAACGGAATGTATTCACGCATGAGAATCAACTTAATTAACACTGGTAATCAGAGTTGCAAAAAGGCAATTATTTAAATTATTAAAATACATGTATTTCAGAGGACAGCAGAATATTGTGAAAAAAAGAAACCTTTCCAGGTGAAGATACTACTTGATTTCCACAAAAGAATTATGAATTTCATGGAGGCTTCTGGTGTTTGAGTACTGACACTGGTTTGGCTTGCTAGGAAAAACCCTTTAGAGTCATCTTAAAGACACTTAACAAGTAACTAATTCATTCAAACCAGACGATCCTTCATTAGCACAAAGCTGGCACATGCTGTTCAAGCCAATTTCTGATAAAACCAGGCTCCTGAGATGGGTACCTGGTCACACAACCCTGGACCACCAGCAGCACTAATGGCTGGCGATTGTGCTCCTGCAACAGCCCAGAAGCAGAAGCAGTTTGGCACCAGCCTCCCCAGGAGTGCCAGGAACAGAAAACTGCTCTGGCACACCTGAGAACGAGACAGCCCTTTCAGCAGTCCCAAGCTCCCTCTTGATTTAACCGATTCCTGGACACTGGAAAAAGCCTGTGGGGATGTCAGGATTGTGTTTTCTGCTGTATCATCTTCTGAGGAGATGTAATTGAGACATCAAGATACATCAACTTTGTAGTTAGTGTTTTAATAACAACTAATCAAAAAGTGTATGTATATAGGCACACACATAAAGATACATATAAATAATATATATATTTTTAT